ATAAACATATCGTTTATTCTTTTGTCTCTACACTGAGTACAAAAGTTCAACTAGAGTCTACGCTCGATACGGTTTCAGTACCAATCAATTGTTATTTAATGAGAATTCTAATAGAGTCATTATTTACCAAGTAAATTCTCATACCTTTTTCCTAGAGCAGAGGGACACGAGAGTCGTGGATGTGATTGACAATATTTTTTTTTAATTCAATTTTTTTTTAATCCAAGTTTTGATCCGAAAATCGGGTTTAAAACCATTTGCTCCGATACCAAATTGTAACACCCTAATCCGTCCAGGTTTACAACCCCTTCCGAACTAAAGTATTAACTTGGTAATCGTATAATTTAAAACATTTCAAATAACTTTATTCATCATAAATGAAATTCCAAACATAATTGTAGTAAATACGGAGTGTTTAATGCAGAAGCGATTTTTAAACATGATTCATAATAACATAATCATTTATTTTCTCAATAAATCCACCACGACTGTCTCGCCCCTTCCGCTACCAAGAACATGTGTAACACCCTAATCCGTCCAGGTCTGCAGCCCCATTCGGACTAAAGTATTTAACTTGGTAATCGTAAAAATTTAAAACATTTCAAATAACTTTATTCATCAATAATGAAATTCCAAACATAATTGTTAATAAATACGGAGTGTTTAGTGCGGAAGCGATTTTTAAACATGATTCATAAATACATAATCATTTATTTTCTCAAATAAACCACCACGACTGTCTCGCCCCCTTCCGCTGCCAAGATCATTCCTTTCATTCATTCTGTCTACCTGCGTGTAGCAAATAAAACATACTACACGCTCAGCGATGAAGCTGAGTAAGCATATCTAAAGCGTCGAACATCCAAATAAATTGAATCTCAATTCATAATCAATCATTTGATATCATGCACACAATATCTGATTCAAACATTCATGGTATTTTCAATATTTTATTCTAAGTCATTTGATATTCAATATCTCAACCATGCTCTTAAATTATTCTTAATCTAAGGCCAAATCATTTTATAACAAGCTCTTAGCTATTCCTAGTCTAAGGCAACATTTCTAACCAGGCCCTTAAACTATATAAATAGTTTAATGCAGAACACAAGAATCGATAATCCACCCTATGGGTCATGTGGATTACGTACCAACCGAACAGTGAACTGTCGGGTGGGTGATATCCGTTCTGGATCCCGTACGTACGTTTTAACCCCGAAATATGAATTGGTCAAGTAGGTATATCTTAGAGTTCTTCTAGATATCCTTAATAATCATCATCAATATACAAGTGGGTATATCTTAGAGTTCTTCTAGATATCCTTAACAATATACACTGTTTTCATAATCACCATTGATTCATTTTTAATCATGACTTATTCATCAATAATCATTTTAATCAGTAGGTTTATCATTCATATTTATCCATAATATTTATTCATCATAATGATCATACAACATAATATTTAATAGCAAATATCGGCCTAGTCTCGGTGTTAACACCCAACTTACCGTCATGCATCACATAATGTTTTTATATGCCAAAATATCATTTATTATACAAATCGTATTTAAATTGTTCATAATTAATTGATATTTTCATAGAATATTTACAGGATTATTTTCGGAACAGGAAAAATCAAATTACTCCATGAAATAATACAAAATCAATTTTTAAATATATATTAATCTATTAATATACAAAAATCGATTATATAACATATATTAATCGATTAAATGGAGAAAAATCGATTAATTAATATAGTTTAATCGATTAATTTGATATGCGTTGGGTTTAATCGATTAATTCACATATATTAATCGATTAAATGGAGAATAATCGATTAAATAATACAGTTTAATCGATTAATTTGATATGCGTTGGGTTCATCGTCTTAATCGATTATTTTACATATATTAATCGATTAAATAAAGAAAAATCGATTAAATAATATGTTTTAATCGATTAATTTGATATGCGTTGGGTTCATCGTCTTAATCGATTATTTTACATATATTAATCGATTAAATAGAGAAAAAATCGATTAAATAATACGGTTTAATCGATTAATTTTTGATATGCGTTATCTGAACGAGTTTTAATCGATTTTTAGGAAGAAAATAATCGATTTTCGATCACTGTTCATCGTCTTCTACCTTCGGTCCATTCTCAGACATATCAATTTTAGTTACCAAACTTCAATTAAACTATATAGAAATGTTCTCCAAGGTTCATAGATCATTTTAGGATTGTTAAAACATATTTTTAACATCAAATTCAAGATTTATGATTCTTGGTCCTTCAAACATGTCCAACACAAAACTTAACCAAATGACCATTTATGAACATAAAAACAACCTATATGAAGATTCTAATCTTTAGATATATCTACGGGCTTACCTCGAAGCTTAATGGAGGTTTTGGAAATTTTCCGGCGAAACTTCCGACGAGTATTTCTCACTGCTCCGGCGACCTCACACTAATATGACAGCACCAATGCACTCTACTCTCAGCAAGGAACAATATAGGAGGAAGAATGAATGTTTTTGGTGAAGAATTGAGGGAGTTTAGGGGTGTTTAAATAGGCCATGATGAAGAAGAAAACAAGGGTTGCAGCTTCCTTGATTGAGAGTCGATTTTTGTAATCGGCGTAATTGAACAGGGCGCCGTTTGGTGTGTAGTCCCTGATTGGGACTAATTTTAGTCCCAGTTGGGGTACATTTTTTTGTTCCAACTTTCTCCAAAATGAAATCCGATTGAACCGTTGGGATCAGACAGTCAAACTCTACATAATGATATGATTTTCATTATTTATTAACAAACTTTAGAATTTACTTATTTTTGGGTCCTTCTCAGTAATTTAATTAATTATAAATTAATTAAATCTGATAGGCCTATTTTTGGGGCGTTACAACATGTCATTCACTCATTCTGTCTACCTGCGTGTAGCAAATAAAACATACTACACGCTCAGCGATGAAGCTGAGTAAGCATATCTAAAGCGTCGAACATCCAAATAAATTGAATCTCAATTCATAATCAACCATTTGATATCATGCACACAATATATGATTCAAACATTCATGATATTCTCAATATTTTATTCCAAGTCATTTGATATTCAATATCTCAACCATGCTCTTAAATTATTCGATTCTAAGGCCAAGTCATTTTATAACAAGCTCTTAGCTATTCCTAGTCTAAGGCAACATTTCTAACCAGGCCCTTAAACTATAAATAGTTTAATGCAAAACACAAGAATCGATAATCCACCCTATGAGTCGTGTGGATTACGTACCAACCGAACAATGATTTGTCGGGTGGGTGA